CCACTCTGTCTCTGGTGAGTCCTCTCACCAGCCCTGCACCTCTGGCCTATACCCCATTTCTCTATACATAAATAAATAAATCTTAAAAAAAAAGAAAAAACTCCTATAATAAAAATAAAAGCTTGCTAGCCACTTTTTAAATCTTGTTTAAGCTCATCTATTAATATTTAACTTTAATGGCTTTCATTTCTAGGAAGTATTTAATTCTATTAAAATCTTTCCTTTTCCAATTAAGTATTATATGGTCTGATACTGATTGACATTTCATTATATGAAAAACTCGTATCTGCTTAACTCTTCCTTCAGGAGACCTGCCTGTTTGTTTTGTAAATATTGCTTTAGAACACACCCTTTTTGAAACTGCCCCTGTGTGAGAATTCTGTCCATTTTCTGTTTCTATAAGAATCTAGATTGTGGTAGCTTCCCTCCAGAGGTTTTAAATATATGTTTCAGGAGTTTTTAGCATTGTGTAACTGCTTTAAAGGTTTTGTTAGCTACTTTTCAACATCTCTGTCATCTCAGCATTGATTTGTTTGTTTTTTGTCTTTTCCTGGCTCCCCATGTGCTGAAGTAATTTTGAATTGTATGCTGGATATTTACAATATGGTTTTTTTTTTAAATACCGAATATTGGGTGGGTTTTCTTTTTTCTTTTTCTTTTTTTTTGCTTTTTTAAAGATTTAAATTTATGCAAAACTGAAGTACAGGGCAGAAGTGCAGGGGCAGTGAGAGGATTCACCAGAGACAAAGTGGGGAGCAGAACAGGCAGATGGATGAAGTACACTGCTGAGGGGAGCAGTAGGTGGGTCAGGAGAGGTCTGCCAAGATTGAACTTGTGCTGAAGCAGCTGCGGCTAGCTTCAGAGTGCTACGCTTTAACTGGTTGAGCCACCAGGGAGGACCCTAGAATGTGTTTACTCCATCTTAACTAGAACCTTCCTCCCAGGATTTTACATTGGCTTTAAAAATACTAACACCTACCAGTTTTAATGTTAATTTTCTGAGATTTGAACCTCAGCTTTAAATCTTAAATCTAAATTCCACATGTAAGCCTTAGTTTAAATTGAGGTAAGCCAAGCTAAGCAAAAAGAGACAAAATTCCTTGCTTTATTCCTATGCCAGTAAACTGACTTTTTTCTAGTCTCTCTTTTTTATTCGAACTTCAGTTTTTTGCAGAGAGTAGAGTTTAGTCTCTCTATCTCGACTTCTTTTCCAAGATGGGTCCAAAACTTTGTGCTTATCCCCAAAGGGGTGTTAAATACCTTAACATCAAACTCTCCAAGGGAATAGCAGCATCCGACCCCCTAGTTTTCCTTATACGTTTTTGTCTTGGCCCTTCTGTTAAATGTGGCTGCTCATTTAAAAAAAAATTACTAGGTCTATATTTTATTTAGCTATTTATAAGGGTCTGTAGCAGAAAGATGTTCAGATTTTCTTGAGCACTATCTTGTTGAAACAAATTCTGTAGAAAACGTCCTATAAAAATCAGCTGAGGCCTTCCCTTGTGGTGCAGCGGGTTAAAGCACGATACTAGGAAGCTAAAGCCACTTCAGCACGAGGTGAATCCACATGGCGAGGCAGACCTCTCCTGACCCACCTACTACTCCCTTCGCAGTGTGCTTCATAGATCTGCCAGTTCTGCTCCCCACTCTTCTCTGGTGAATCCTCTCACCACCCCTGCACCTCTGGCCTGTATCCCAGTTCTGTATGCATAAACAAATAAACCTTTTTAAAAAAATCAGCTGATACATACAAAAACAAAATTAGAGGCCTAAATGTAATAGAAACTCATTCACCGCTAGAGTTACAGGATTTTTTTTAATATGCACATATAAGTGTACTTGTATATGTATATACGTAACACTCAACAATGTTATATGTTGTAAGTTAGAAATTATTATGTCTACATTTAATCAAAATTTAAGAAATTATTAACTCTGACTTTCCAGAAAAGAAAAGGTATGTTTTCATTGGAAAACAATCTCAGCATAATGAAATTAGTACTTATTTGAAATTAAACTTTCAGGTGCTAGGAAAGAGTAGTTTAATCTTTGTGAATAAATATAAAACCACTGCTTTAAAGCTGAGGTTTGTGTGATTACTTTTGTTTCATGGCTTATATTATTTTGGCATTCCATGTAAAAATTCAATAGGAATCTCTGTTTAATAGGTAAGATTTACTATCTCTTTTTAGTTGCAGTGGTTTCTTATCAGAAAAATATTCTCCCCTTCTTTCCTGCCAGGAATGAGTAGTGATAGTGATATAGAATGTGACACTGAGAATGAAGAGCAGGAAGAACATACCAGCATGGGCGGATTTAACAAGTCTTTCATGGCGCAGCCCCCAGACGAAGGTGCAACACATGATGTTATTTCACGTATTAATAAAACCATCTCTTTTGCTGCTGCTGCTTCCTTTGCTTCTGTTTCTGCTTCTCTGCCTCTACTCTACTGTTTCTTCTTTTTTAATTACTGTCATTTGTGATACAGCATTCTATGGGTTAAATTACAGGGTGAGTACTAAAAAAATTGTAGGTAATGTTTGGCTAGTCAGACACCTGATAGGTACCCTTATTGGGTAGAACAGGAGAGCAACCTGCTTTTGTGCAGCCTGTGACCTGAGAATAAGTCTTTATATTGTAAAGAGTTTTAATAGGTCTTTACATTGTAAAGAGTGTTAAGAAACAAGAATTTTCAGCTACAACCATATATGGCCAGCGCTGCCTAAATACTATTATTTCTCTTTATAGGAAATGTTTGCTAACCCCTGGGGAGCTTTCAGGTGTTTGATTTATTATTCTGTCCAGAGATATTTTAGCCTAGCTCTAAAGTAACTAGTTAAAGTAAAAGTTAAAGATAACTTTTTCTGACTTCTTAGAAATGTGTGCAGGCTATAGAATCATCAATTTTTATTCCCTTGCTCCCAAAAAAAGCCTTAATGGGGGAGCAGTCAAAAGAAACACACTGTTTGTATTTGTTTTGTGTTATTGAGATGTCAGCATTTACTGACTTGATATCTCTATGTATTGTGAAATGATGCCACAGTAAGCTTAGTTGACTTCTGTTACCCACTGTGACTATCCAGAGATTTTCATGATCAAGCTGAGCATTCCTCTGCATATATTGTAGGTTTGTGCTAATTTTCAACTTTTTACTTTGTATATTTTACTGATATCCTAGTGTCTTTTTCAATATATAGCCAAGCATTTGATAACTTTTAAGTATTAACATATTTAGAGTAATTTTCTTTACTTGTAAAAGAAACAGCCAAATTTTAGGCAAGTTATTTTGAGTGCAAATGGTTTTTTGTGATTACGTTTGCATGTGCAATTGATTTGGCTTTGAGAAACTTTTGTTTGCAAAATCATCCTTTAGAGTGTACAATATTGTGGATTTCTCTTCCTTCAACTGCTCCCACATTGTCCCTGGGAGGACAAAGCAAGGCAGTGCCTATCATCTGTTAATTGTGGATATATATTACTTACTTCTTTATTTTCCCGTTGTGTCCCTGATTTAAATCACACATTCTCTGAAGATAATGACTTGCTCACAACTCATCACTTAAATAACAACTTGTTACGATCACTAAAGACATGAGAAAGGAAATACTTCTCTTTTAAAAATGTTAATCTGCTTTTAATTTTTATCTTAGATACCCATTCCAGTTTTCCTGATGGTGAACAAATAGGCCCTGAAGATCTCAGCTTCAATACTGATGAAAACAGTGGAAGGTAATTTTCAAATCAAGAGAACTGACTTGCTGGCTACTTTGCCCCTGAAATTTGCTGTATGTTTGTCATCAGTCACATAATCAAATTTGACCTTTTTTTTTTTTTCATCTCTAAAGTAGTACTTGTAAAACTGTTAGAAAATAGTACGATTCTTACATAGGACATTAGTACACAGAAAAAAATTAATGGGGAGAATTCTGTATAATGTAATGAAGTAAGTGTAGTCTTAAACTAATTGAATAAAATAGTTTGTTCACAAAAGGCAGTTTGTCTACTAAAACAAAAGGGTGAATCCTGCTAGAGAAAGTACCCAGAGGTGGTGCATGCATTCAGTAAACTGTTGAGTATCAGTCCTTGGTTAGAATACTCAGTTGTATTTAAAGGACCACATTTATATTTGGTTTTAATCAATTCATATTTTCATTAGTGTCTATAGATAAGTCAACAGAAAAATTACTTATGAGTAGTCTCTGCTCCGTAAATCCTTTATGTGAATAACTGAAGTTTAATACTAGGCTGATTATCTTTAGTGCATGTAGACTGACTAAAGTTAATTTATTTGTCATTTCCTGTTTGGTAAGTGCAGGCACATTGTTTAGTGGCACACAATCTTTTTACTGAGTGTCTTACAAATGTCATTTAAGTGATATATGTTAATGTAGATTATGTTCCTGGTTATGTGAACACAAAAAAATCATTTCTTTTTTTTTTTCTGCCTTTTACTAAACAACTGTAATGCAGCAAATACTTTATACCCTCTTTCTCCTTTACTTTCATTACTTGCATGTGGATTTCAGTGTTTATACTGAAGCACATTGGCTTCTGTGAAACTGTGGTAAAAGGTTTACTTTCATATTCTCTCAAGTAGTCCAAAATAATTGCCAAACTTTGTCATTGTGTTCCTGCATTTGTGTTTGAGCTGCTATACTATTCAAAAACCACATTGAAAGTCGATTAAGAAACTATTGAAAAAGCATGAATATATGTATAGACATGTGAGAGACACCTCATCTGCTTATATTTTTACTTAATGAATATTACTCACTTTTCCACGTCTTACTGAATGCTGTGATTCATGGTTGCTTTTGTTCAAAACAGTTTGCACTTTTTGTTAATAAAATGAACTTAAGAAAATATTATGCCTCTGCAATTTATTAAAAGTGGGACAGGAAGCTTCTTTTTTTTTCTACTGGTATTGCTTGTATATAATAGAGGCTTTTTAGATATGTAAACTATTAGTAAATATATGAGTAATTTAGAAGACTTGTAATTTCCAAAATATACAAAATATTCCAAAATATTTCTCCTTAATAATTGGAAATACTTACGTACTATATGAGATGTGAAAATTTAACATTTGTTCATTAACATGATGGCATAAGTATATTGTATACAGTTATTGCACAATGCTCTAAAACATTAATAATTTCATGTCTAGTTACATGTTGTTCATTACATTTTGATGCAATCAATTGTATTTTTAATCTACTTTTTTCTTACCTCTACAATAAGGTGTAATGGTTAAAACTGTAGTGTAAGAATTTTGTATCTTTAGTGTTGAAAGCAAATCGATGTGTAGATTTAAAAAGAGACTCATCAAAATCCATAAACATGAGTGTGATTTACTCCACTTGCAGTCTCTCACTATTGCCTACCTGTTTTTTTTTTTAGTTGTATTTGATGTAGAACTGTACTACTACACTTCTTTTTATTTCAAAATAGAGAAAACTAGATGTAGTTAAAAACTAAGAAAAGTCTGAGAGTATGGAATACTTATTTGGGGAGATTTATTTGCAGAAGCTTTAAGCATGTATTTAATCATGAGATTCTCATGGATCATTCTTGATGATTGCATTTTGAGTTTTCCTTCTGTCTTCTATTGGGGGAAAGGATATCTTTTTCTTTTAAATAATAAATGTTCTTTGCTTGTATTTTTCGTGACCTTGAAATATTTTTTTGGTTAATAGGTTATCCCAAAGTAGTCCACTAATACATTGGATTATAGCGTATTTGGTGTTTTGGGGTTTGTTTTGTTTTTAATTTTTAATTGAGGTCATATTTTGATACCCTCCTCAGATAATTGCCACCATAGTGCACCCACCAGGATTATGGTATATTTGAATCTTGAATATTTTTTTGGCTTTTCTTATGCTCTCAGGTTACATATACAGACAACTAGGCATTGCTTCCCTTACTTTAGATTTAGAATTATAAGTGTGAATTGAGAATTTGGTTGAGACCCTTTTAAATTGGTGGTACTTGAGTTTACCATGTCAGCAAGACTATTTTTGATTGTTAAAGTGTAGGAAAATGTGAAAGCATTTACTGCTTTAGGCTTATACAAAGTTTTGTAGGGACAAGTTATTAAAACTTAACCAAACATATTCTCATATTTTAGGAATCCAGCCTATTTGTACCTATTCTCATGTTGTAATAGAAAACTCTTATCTCTTGAAAAGCAAAGAAAAAGAAAGTAAGCTTCTAAAGAAATGACAACTGTTCTATTAGGATAAAATTCTTTTTGTAATTAAAGTTAACAACAAATTTCACACACACACACAACAACTAAAAACTTGTAGGTAAAGGACTGAAACCTCAAAAGTGTTTCATCAAAACCTCAAAACACTTCTGTTTTGTTGGGCCCTAACTCACCTAAAGTAGTATTTTTGAATTATAAAATAATAAGGAATGGGCAGCATATTCAAAGTCACACAGTCTGTTGAAGAAGACCTCTAGGATTCAATTAACAAGCATCTATCTAGCATTCGCTTTAGGGGTATGCAAACTATCCTTGGGCCAAATCCCTACACATCTATTTTTAGAAGTTTTAATGGACACAGCTATATTCATTCAATTTACTGATTAACAATGACTGCTATTGTACTATAGTGGCTGAGCTGAGTAGATTGCTAAAGAAACTAGATAGCCTTCAGAACTGTGATTACTTACTCTCTCACCCTTTATAGATAAAACTGACTTGTGCCTATCATTAATATTTTTGGAAATGTCTTTTCTGTTTAGAAGTTTAGGTTTGAGAAAACATGGCTTTTAAATTAAAAGAATATTTGATTTTGTTTTAGTTTTGTGGTATGGAGTGATCAGCAGCTTCAGTCCATTCATTCTAAAATCATAAGACCAAAAGATTTCTTCAAAGATGAAGGATATGTTAGCTGTTAGTAGTGGAATATTTAGAAACTGTAATTCCTCCCCCATATCCTTTCTGTGTTACATACTGAATCTATAGGCAGACTTAGTGGAGTCAAAAACCTTTACTTACTCGCTTCTTTACTGTAGTATGCCTGCCTTGGATATACCAGCTGTTTGGTAGCAGTGAGGCAAGAAAGAGGCATAAAAGGAGAAATTGCTTTTCCTCTCCCTTTGGTTGTTCATGATCTCTCTGCAAGAGACCTGGTGTGAAAGAGATCCTCCTTTCTTCCACCTATAGTTGTCATCACCCACATACTATATAAGTCATGAATAGTGAACCCAGATTGCCAGTTAGTTGCTCTGCATTTTACATACACTAACAGTGCCTCCTTTCAAATTTCTTTTTAACTTTTCCCCTTTTGTTGAAAAGCATGGTTTTCTCTTAATTTTGGCTCCCATTTTACTTGGCCTAAAGTTCGTATTTTTATCTCAAGTTTATTGCAGAAAATTTCTCCTCTGTAGTATTTTCTCTTAATCATAAAGATATAATAATAATGCTTGTATTATGCACAAGCCCATTATTTCTGGACAGTTTTGGAAACTATCATTAAATCCTTACACAAACCTTGAGGAAATGAGTTACATGTTGTGCCCATTTGGCAGAGACAGCAGAGTACAGTGAAGTTAAGGGAAGTTGTATGATTCTCTGAAGGCTCAAAAACAGGCAGGGATAAAATGAACTGCTAGTCTGGTGCTTCTTCTGATACATCACACGAACCAAGCCTAGCATTCCCATACCTAATAATTAAAAACCTACAGATTGTCCTATTATTTAACTTTTTGTTGTGAGATAATTTTAGATTTACAAAAGAGATTCAGAAATCTTGAGAGTTCTTGTATACCGGTTACCCAGCTTCTCCTTTTGTTAACATCTTATATAACTGGAGAGCAATGATCAAAACTAAGAAATTAATCCTGTTTATAATACTGTTCTAACTAAATTTGTTCAGATTTCACTGGTTGTTTCACTAATGTCCTTTGTTCCAAGATCCAGAGGAGGAGCGGACACTGTATTTAATCATCATGTTTCCTTAATGTCATCCAGTTCATGACAGTTCCTCAGTCCTTTCCTGTCTTTCATGACCTTGGCCTTTTTAATTTGTGTTTTTTATCCACTGTTGAATTCCAGAGACCTTGACATTTTTGTAAAAGACCAATCATTTCATAGAATGCCTGGTGTCTTCTCATAGACAGCTAAGAGTAGACTGAATTGGAAAGGCTGCTACTCACATAGGGCATACTACAGAGGCCACCAAGAGGTAGATATTTAAAATTAGGATGTTCACTTTGATTACTTTGGTCACTGTGTTTTCATCAGGATTCTGATTACTTACCATTTCTCCCTTTTTTCATCACTAAATATTTGGGGCAGATACTTTTGAGACTCCTTAAATATTCTCTTTTTGCTTATCACACTAATTTTAGCACTTATTATTGGACCTTGCCTGTGGCAATTTATTACTGCAGAATATTATTTTCCTAACTTCAACATTTACTGTTAGAATTCTATGAGAAAAAGTCATTCCTACCTTTTTCAAAAAATTCAGCTACTTATTAAATATAAGTATGGACTCAGATACTTATTTCATTCTTAAAAGTTATGATTCAGTACTGTTCAACTTGTCCCGTTTTGGGCCTTTGAAAGCTCTGTCAGTTTGGTACCCTGTATACTTCTGATGTATTTTAGCATTTTCCCTCTCTTTCTTTAAAAGTATTTATATACTTCTGACACCGTAAGATGCTCAGGCTCTTGTGGTATTTTTCCTGTCTTTGCCCTGTAGCAGCCACTTCTCTCAAGAACCCTACTTCCTTTTTTAGGCATTGTATTTAGAAACAAGACTTGGGTGTCAATGTGTTAAGTCTTAGTAGAGTGTCACTATCATCTAGTTCCTCTCAGTGAATAGAATAGGAAATGGACATATAAATATATATATATATATATATATATATATATATACTGACCTCTTTGTATATTTGTAAATACATGTTTTAAGACATGAGTCTGTATTGATACCCACCACACCAGTCCAGCTTCCACAGTGCTCCTTCTAATTGTAGTCTCTCACTGCTCATCTTCCTCTCCTAGTCTGACTCTCATTAGCTATCATATATTCACTTGTTTATTCAGCAATAATATACATGCCAAGTAGTTACAGAACTGTTGACCCTGTGTAAAGCAACTTTACTGCTTTTATTTTTAGAATCATTATCATGTCAAAACATTTTTCTATAGTTATTTAGTTCCTAAGATTCAAAGTTACCTTAGTTTCTTTCTTCCCTACTCATTTCACTGTGATTATGTGATTCATTTGTAATACAGTTAGAGTCATCTGTTACAGTCTACATTCTGTCCTCCCCCATACATCCTGGTTGATTTTAAAATTTGCATATATTAAAATTCAGTCTTTTTGGTATACAGATCTGTGGGTTTTGACATAAAGTTGTGTATCTGCCACCATTTACTGCTAAATAATTACCATCAAAATTCCCTGATTTAAAAAAAAATTCCCTGATGCTGGCCCTTTATAGGAAAATCTTCCTCCCAATCACAGACCTTCTCTGTTCTTTTTCCCTTTTCCAGAGTTATAGGATGACACAATGTTTAGCCTTTTATTTAGTAAAATGCAGTTAAGTTTCATCTGTCGTCTGAATCAATACTTCATCCTGTTACAAGGCAAGCCAACGTGAATTGGGTTGCCTGTCTGTGGGTCCTCACCCTTGCACTTAAGATTCAACTGCACTGCAGACATGCTCAGAAAAATCAATAATGGGTTTATTTACAAGGGGGAAAAAGGAAAGAAAGAACCTTGGAAAAGAGAAAGAGAGAAATACAAGTTAACTAATGTGTCCTACCAGTTCCACGCCCTGGAACCCCAGTAGCACACCGAAAGCTGATCAAGAGCCAAGTGACCAGCCACCAGCCATGAGGTTGGGAGGGAGGGAGTGAGAAAGGGAGAGAAAAAACCTGTATCAGTGGAGTTCTACCAGGACATCCGTTCCCCCTAACAATCCCTTTTTACTGTTGAATATTTCACTTTACATGTACCAGTTT